GGATGTTTTGCGCGTTGTTTGGCTTTTGGATACATTAATGGTCTAACAGTTTCATCACAACCCCGTTTGAACGCCTTGCGTGTGTGACTCACTACCAGTGGCATCCTTTCATATGGTAGTCCAAAAGAACATCAGGAATGCCCAGGAAACTATGTTTAGTGGAACACCTGTGCGGCAGCACCAGTTCCTGTGAAGGCATTCCAGTGCAGGCAGATAGTGTTTCACAACTTGCACCCGACGCGCACCACATTCATGAAACATGGCCAATGGATTGTCAAGCCACCAGCACCGTCTTTTGTGATCAAGTCGTTTGCTTGGCTGGTGACTGTTGGTTGTCATTGGGTGTTGATTGTTTCTTGTGCAGCTGTGTTTTGTTGTGTGATTGCTTGTTTGTTGTTTGTGTGATTGCAGCGTAAACCTTGTTGCCGAGAGGTAATGTGAAGCAGGGCTGAGCGGATGTTTGTGGACTGAAAAGGAGCTCAATGCCAGGGCGTCAGCTGTTTTCCGTCTTTTAGCTGAAGAGACATGCCCTGAATGAGCATGTTGTCACTGTTGTTTCGAAGATGTATGCTGGCCGGGTGGTTGGCTTGTCTGAGGTGAGCAGCAAAGCCATGCGCCGTACTCGAAGGCCAAGGCGGATTGATGCGGATTCAGAGCGGCAAGTGGGAGCGGTTGTGTCGGCGTCTTCTGGCCTTATCTGGCAGCCCTTCCACGAGAAGCCTGGGCGTACCCGCTGATGTTGGCAGCCCTGAATCGCAATGACTTGAGACAGGCCGAAGAGGACGGAGACAGCTGGCCAAGCTGGCGGCAGAGTGCCAAACTCAGAGCGCACGATGATCAGTTCTCACAGGAGGTTCCAAAGGGTCGGGTGGAAGAAGATTCGACTTCGCTTTGTGGGTTTGTTTCCTTGTGAGCAGCACGTGTTTTCTGACAGCCCTATGTCTGCTGATCTTTCCTGCCCTATTTCCGAGTAGGCTTGGGCTGGGCAGGGCATGTCCGACAATGTTCTTTTATTTCTGAGAGCACAGCAAAGCAAATCACCTGGCACGCACTTCATCCTACCATGTCAGAGCTTGGAAGCTGTGAAGACAAGTGGCACTAGCACACAAAGGGCAATGCCGCATTTTGCGCTATGCTTGGTTTTGCAGACAGTGAGTCCGTTGTGGTGGCATTTTGTTTCGGAGAGGTAAGCCGGCCGGCTGGTTGGCGTGGCTGAGGTGAGCAGCAAAGCCATGCGCCGCACTCGAAGGCCAAGGCGGATTCATGCGGATTCAGAGCGGCAAGTGGGAGCGGTTGTATCGGCGTCTTCTAGCCTTATCTGGCAGCCCTTCCACGAGAAGCCTGGGCGCACCCGCTGATGTTGGCAGCCCTGAATCGCAATGACTTGAGACAGGCCGAAGAGGACGGAGACAGCTGGCCAAGCTGGCGGCAGAGTGCCAAACTCAGAGCGCACGATGATCAGCTCTCACAGGAGGCTGCAAAGGGTCGGGTGGAAGAAGATTCGACTTCGCTTTGCATCAGACTAGCGTGGGTTTGTTTCCTTGTGAGCAGCACGTGTTTTCTGACAGCCCTATCTCTGCTGATCTTTCCTGCCCCTATTTCCGAGTAGGCTTGGGCTGGGCAGGGCATGCTCGACAATGTTCTTTTATTTCTGAGAGCACAGCAAAGCAAATCACCTGGCACGCACTTCATCCTGCCACGTCAGAGCTTGGAAGCTGTGAAGACAAGTGGCACGAGCACACAAGGGGCAATGCCGCATGTTACATGTTGTGCCATGCTTGCGTTTTTCCAGACAGTGAGTAAGTTGTGGTGGCATTTTGTTTCGGAGAGGTAAGCCGGCCGGGTGGTTGGCTTGTCTGAGGTGAGAAGGAAAGCCATGCGCCGTACTCGAAGGCCAAGGCGGATTCATGCGGATTTCGCGAAACCTGCGCGTACCCGCTGATGCTGGCAGCCGTGAATCGCAATGACTTGAGACAGGCCGAAGAGGACGGAGACAGCTGGCCAAGCTGGCGGCAGAGCACCAAGCTCAGAGCATACGATGATCAGCTCTGACAGGAGGCTGCAAAGGATGGGGTGGAAGAAGATTCATGTCGGTCTTTGCCACATTTGATCGCGACTGGTTTTCGCACTTCGTTTCGCATCAGACTAGCTGTCACAGCGTGGGTTTGTTTCCTTGTGAGCAGCACGTTTACTCTATTTAGCAGCCCTATGTCTGCTGATCTTTGTCCGAGTACGCTTGGGCTATGTTGTGCCATTCCTGTTTTTCCAGACAGTGAGTATGTTGTGGTGGCATTTTGTTTCTGAGAGGTAAGCCGGCCGGGTGGTTGGCTTTTCTGAGGTGAGAAGGAAAGCCATGCGCCGTACTCGAAGGCCAAGGCGGATTCATGCGGATTCAGAGCGGCAAGTGGGAGCGGTTGTATCGGCGTCTTCTAGCCTTATCTGGCAGCCCTTCCACGAGAAGCCTGGGCGTACCCGCTGATGTTGGCAGCCCTGAATCGCAATGACTTGAGACAGGCCGAAGAGGACGGAGACAGCTGGCCAAGCTGGCGGCAGAGTGCCAAACTCAGAGCGCACGATGATCAGCTCTCACAGGAGGTTCCAAAGGGTCGGGTGGAAGAAGATTCGACTTCGCTTTGCATCAGACTAGCGTGGGTTTGTTTCCTTGTGAGCAGCACGTGTTTTCTGACAGCCCTATGTCTGATGATTTTTCTTGCCCTATTTCCGAGTAGGCTTGGGCTGGGCAGGGCTTGTCCGACAATGTTCTTCTAGTTCTGAACACACAGCAAAGCAAATCACCTCGCACGCACTTTATCCTAGCATGGCTTGGAAGCTGTAAAGACAAGTGGCACGAGCACACAAGGGGCAATGCCGCATGTTACATGTTGTGCCATGCTTGCGTTTTTCCAGACAGTGAGTCCGTTGTGGTGGCATTTTGTTTCGGAGAGGTAAGCCGGCCGGCTGCTTGGCGTGTCTGAGGCGAGAAGGAAAGCCATGCGCAGTACTCGAAGGCCAATTCAGAGCGGCAAGTGGGAGCGGTTGTACCGGCGTCCTCTAGTATTTGGCAGCCCTGACTCGCGAAACCTGGGCGTACCCGCTGATGCTGGCAGCCCTGAATCGCAATGACTTGAGACAGGCCGAAGAGGACGGAGAAAGCTGGCCAAGCTGGCGGCAGAGCACCAAGCTCAGAGCATACGATGATCAGTTCCCACGGGAGGTTCCAAAGGGTCGGATGGAAGAAGATTCGACTTCGCTTTGCATCAGACTAGCGTGGGTTCGTTTCCTTGTGAGCAGCACGTGTTTTCTGACAGCCCTATGTCTGATGATTTTTCTTGCCCCTATTTCCGAGTAGGCTTGGGCTGGGCAGGGCTTGTCCGACAATGTTCTTCTAGTTCTGAACACACAGCAAAGCAAATCACCTCGCACGCACTTTAACCTAGCATGGCTTGGAAGCTGTAAAGACAAGTGGCACGAGCACACAAGGGGCAATGCCGCATGTTACATGTTGTGCCATGCTTGCGTTTTTCCAGACAGTGAGTCCGTTGTGGTGGCATTTTGTTTCGGAGAGGTAAGCCGGCCGGCTGCTTGGCGTGTCTGAGGCGAGAAGGAAAGCCATGCGCAGTACTCGAAGGCCAATTCAGAGCGGCAAGTGGGAGCAATTGTACCGGCGTCCTCTGGTATTTGGCAGCCCTGACTCGCGAAACCTGGGCGTACCCGCTGATGCTGGCAGCCGTGAATCGCACTGACTTGAGACAGGCCGAAGAGGACGGAGAAAGCTGGCCAAGCTGGCGGCAGAGCGCCAAGCTCAGAGCGTTCTGCGATTAGTTCTCACAGGAGGCTGCAAAGGGTGGGGTGGAAGAAGATTCATGTCGAGCTTTACGACACTTGATCGCGACTGGTTTTCATGCTCACAGCTTGTGAAAGGCACTTCGTTTCGCATCAGACTAGCTGGCATAGCGTGGGTTCGTTTCCTTGTGAGCAGCACGTGTATTCTATTTAGCAGCCCTATGTCTGCTGAACTTGGTCCGAGTACGCTTGGGCTATGTTGTGCCATGCTTGTTTTTCCAGACATTGAGTCCGTTGTGGTGGCATTTTGTTTCGGAGAGGTCAGCCGGCCGGGTGGTTGGCTTGTCTGAGGTGAAAAGGAAAGCCATGCGCCGTACTCGAAGGCCAAGGCGGATTCATGCAGACTTCGCGAAACCTGGGCGTACCGCTGATGTTGGCAGCCCTGAATCGCACTGACTTGAGACAGGCCGAAGCGGACGGAGAAAGCTGGCCAAGCTGGCGGCAGAGTTCCAAGCTCAGAGCGCACGATAATTAGTTCTCACAGGAGGTTTCAAAGGGTCGGGTCAAAGAAGATTCGTGTCGAGCTTTGCCACACTTGATGGCAGCTGGCTTTGCTGCTTGCAGCTTGTGAAAGGCACTTTGTGTCGCATCAGACTAGAAGGCACAGCGTGGGTTCGTTTCCTTGTGAGCAGCACGTGTATTCTATTTAGCAGCCCTATGTCTGCTGATCTTCCTACCATGGTTCCGAGCAGCCTTGGGCCGGGCATTGCATGTCCGACAGGAGAAGCTCAAGATTATTTTATTGTGTTTGAACACAGCAAAGCAAAAAGCCTCACACGCTTGCAAGCTGTGAATACAAGTTGCACGAGCAGACAAGGGGCAATGCCGCATGTTACATGTTGTGCCATGCTTGCTTTTCCGGACAGTGAGTCCATGGTGGTGGCATTTTGTTGCGGAGAGGTAAGCCGGCCGGCTGCTTGGCGTGTCTGAGGCGAGAAGGACAGACATGCGCAGTACTCGAAGGCCAATTCAGAGCGGCAAGTGGGAGCGGTTGTACCGGCGTCCTCTAGTATTTGGCAGCCCTGACTCGCGAAACCTGGGCGTACCCGCTGATGCTGGCAGCCGTGAATCGCAATGACTTGAGACAGGCCGAAGAGGACGGAGAAAGCTGGCCAAGCTGGCGGCAGAGCGCCAAGCTCAGAGCGTTCTGCGATTAGTTCTCACACGAGGTTGCAAAGGGTCGGGTGTATGATGAGGATTCATGTCGGGCTTTTGCCGGTGTGGTTGAGGATGACAGTTGTCCGCAAGTCATCAGCTGATCCCTGGAGAATGGCATTCGACCGTTACCATACATCTACCCTTCGGAGTCTGCTTTTTCATTTCGTGCTTGCTCGTGTCATGATGCCATTTTTTTGACATTAATTTTGTCGATCCCTGCACTTGCTGTGATTTCGGTCTTGGTGTGAGATTGGAAGGCGAACTCAGATGTTTCGGGCATGGTTGCTTTTGTTGTCCTTCGAAATTGCAGATTGCAGATTGTTTTTCTGCCAGAGCAGACCCAGATCCAGCGGTATCACTGACATTCTGTTGAGGCCTTGATTTCTTGAGTTTGTCTTTAAGAGACATTCACATCTCGTTTCACATCTCCAGATGAAAACTTGTCGGCATGCTGCAGTCTGAGGTTCGCGTTCAAGCCATGCAGCCTACGAGGCAGGTCCAAAGGAGTGCTTTGGGTGGTGCTTTGTTTGGTTGCCATGGACGTGGCACCTGAAGGCACAATATGGGTGGATTTAAACATCTTTTATGTTAGCTTTAGGGTTTCCCAAGACGGAAGTAGAAGATCCGCGGGAGGGAGGGGTGGGGCCAATCTATTTGCTAAAACCGGCCAGGAGCAAGCCTTTTCGCATGGCTTGGATACATGGATTAGACATATATATATATATATATGTGTTTAATTTATTGTCCATGCACTGGAATGGCCAGATGGGTTCAAAGGTGGTGCTTAACACATTCTTGACGGACAATTTGACTGAGAACCGGGGAACTTATCCCAGGATCATGTGAGCGGAATGAATTCACTTTCACCTCCGCATCATTCAAAAGTCTTCCCGTGCAGGTTGAGCCAGCAAAGCGTACGTTGTTTGTTGATATAGTGGCTATGCCATGGGACCTGGCTTGAAACTCGTTCGTGGTTGCAGATATTCCAGCGCGTTGGCAGTGACCAGCAAATGCTTTCTGTTTTTTTTCTGGGCTTAAAGTCCAGTCAAGTTGACTGGGAGCTTCAGTCAAGTCATAGTCTTCTCTGCTCGGATGCTTTGGTGTATACAGGTAGACGGCGTCGGACTGTATCGTCCTTTCTGGCGATGAAGTCATTGGGAGATGTAAATTGGGGACTTGCTTGTTGCCATGGACACGCCATCACAAGATCCTATGACAATTCCCTCAAGGTGGTTTCAATCCAAACTCCTGGAAGTCGTTTAAGCCGTCTAAGCGCCCCGTGGGTTCTTAGAACCTTTCCTGCGGTTCCGCCCAGATTTTCCTCGCCTGTCCAGGGCAAAAGCTGGGCAAGCTGGCGCCGAGCGCTCGGGGCTGGACGGGCAAACAGCTTGACTTCTGAGCTCGCATGGCTTTGTTTGAGATGTATTTTTTCTGGGCAAACAGGGTGTGTGCTAATATAGAGGAGCCCACCACAGGGTTGCATTTCTTCAGCTTTCCTTTTCAAAACAAGACAGACACACGCAGAGACAGACCGCCAGAGACAGAAAGACGGAAAGACGGAGAGGCAGAGAGACAGATAGAAGAGACGAAGAGACAAAGACAAAGACCGAGGCATGCGTACGGCATACGTACCTCCACACGTGCACCCATGTATCATGCATACACTGGTATGATAATGCATATATATATATGTACCTATAAGGTAGAGGCAAGGTAACTTACTCACAGGCAAAGGTACACTTAACCACCAGTCTCTGGGAGTTTTCAGAGATCCGCTGGGGGTCGCAAGGCCTGTCCCCAGGCCTCCCCAGGCCTGTCGAGGCCTTTCAGGTGCACAGGCCTGAAGCCTACACCCAGGATTCTGGAGGTTGAAGGGGGAAGGGAAGAGTCTGGTTTTTATGGCTGGAATTGTCTTGCAAAGGGGCAACATCCCATGAAGAATGCCGGGAGAAAGTGGCAATCCTGCTTTCAGGTGCTCCCGCGGCATTTTGGGGACGTGCCAAAGGCAGGCCAGCGGGTCAGCGGCCCAGAGAAGCATGACCGTACAACATTCTTGGACAGGCCTGCAGGCTAGCGCTTTGCTGCGCAGACCGAGCCTCCAGATGAGCGATAGCAGCCATGGACCGCCGCTGCGCGTGGCTGGGCAAAAATTGCTCATTTGCCTTGTTCCACCCAGCCCGGGAACCAAAAAGCGCTCTCCCCTCCTCTCCGCTAGTCTTGCTTTTGCAGGTGGAGCCCTGTCCTGGGCTATATCATCACATGGCTTGAGAACAACCTGCCGGGATTGGCGTACAACGCTGTCATGGATGAGCTGGCTGCAACGATCAGAAGGACTGGCCTTGAGCCCAGCATCTTCTTCTCGGTGGTGTGCTCATCAAAAGTGAGGTGCCTATCAGAGATGGAAGGGCCATGGCCTGGAAAGGACGAGATCTTGGACAACAGTTGCTGCGTGGCGGCTTTCTGGCAGAGCAGTCGCACAGCCGCAGACGGCCGCAGCAAGCAAGCTGCGCCTGGCAGTTTGTAGCGCCTCCTGCGCGGCCGTGCCTTGCGTGGGTCGGCGCGCCCCTCGAGGCGGCTGTGCGGAAAGCAGAGCTTGCAGGCGCGGTGTTGGCAAACGCTCAGACATTTCTTAGACTTGTCTCACGCTTTGGGACGCACAGGGAACGCTTTCTTCACATCATTTGCGTGCCCGAAGACCCAGGCACGGCTTGCTAGATCTAGAAGCACTGCTTTGGTCCAACCTGTGTGCCTGGAAAGTTAGGAAGGCGGCGATGGGCAGAGTCTAGTTCGCTTATCTGTGGCGCGTTGTTCTTTCAAAGGGCGGGCGCGTTGCAAACCGGGGGTGTGTTTCATCCGAGTGGTAGGGGGGTTCCTTGGAAATATTTTCACGGGCTGGGCTTGCGTTGTTTTTGGTGGTGCCGTTTTCAGGAGCATGTAAGCGAACTGGAGTACAAGCGCGCACGGCTGCAGACAGAGGTGATTGATGCAAATCACAGCTCCATTCCAGCAGAGGGAGCTTCAGACAGAGATGCCAGCATGCAGCACGTGCGCCAGGCCGCGGAGTCTGTGGAAGAGGAGTCGCCCGCGGTGACAGATCCAGAGATGGTCTTTGTCCAGCCACGCAGACGGATTGAGGAAAAACAGCGTTGTTGGGGAAAGCAGCCCAAGTTTAGTTGCAAACGCAGACTACCAAGTGCTTTGTGCAAGCGCCGCTTGCATTGTGCAGCTGACACGTTGCGTTTGATTTGGCAATTGGTCTGGGGTTGAAAGAGGCTTCGGGCGGCATTTCAAGTCTCATCCAATCCACAGATCAAGCATTTTTGTATGCCTTCGAAGTTGCAACAAGGCTTCGCTTCTGCGTGAGTGGTAACGCCCTTTCCAACCTGGTGGCGTGTGTAGAGCTTTCCTTTGTGGGACAGGGGCCCGTAGTCTTCTTTTCCCCTTCCCGTCGTCTTCCTTCCTCTTTCCGTCGTAGTCTTCTTTCCTTTTCCCGCAGTCTTCCTTCCTCTTCCCGTAGTCTTCCTTCCTCTGGCCCGTAGTCTTCCGTCCTCTTCCCGTAGTCTTCTTTCCTCTTCGTAGTCTTCTTTCCTCTTCCCGCAGTCCTCTTTCCCCTTCCTGTGGTCTTCTTTCCTCTTCCCGTAGTCTTCCGTCCTCTAGTCTTCCGTCCTCTTCCCGTAGTCTTCTTTCCTCTTCGCGTAGTCTTCTTTCCTCTTCGTAGTCTTCTTTCCTCTTCCCGCAGTCCTCTTTCCCCTTCTTGTGGTCTTCTTTCCTCTTCCCGTAGTCTTCCTTCCTCTGGCCCGTAGTCTTCCGTCCTCTTCCCGTAGTCTTCTTTCCTCTTCGTAGTCTTCTTTCCTCTTCCCGCAGTCCTCTTTCCCCTTCCTGTGGTCTTCTTTCCTCTTCCCGTAGTCTTCCGTCCTCTAGTCTTCCGTCCTCTTCCCGTAGTCTTCCCGTAGTCTTCTTTCCTCTTCCCGTAGTCTTTGTTCCTCTAGCAGCTTAGCGCCTTAGCAACTTCAGACCTTTGCAGCTTAGCACCCGCTCGCAGCGGCCATGCATAGTGACAGCTGCCAAGACCTGGCCAGAATATTTACGCCTGCCGGCAATGTGGGAACCAAGGGGCTGCTGAAAATCATGTAGACGCATGCGCCTAAAAAAAGCAGACAAATCTATTGCGTGTCATTCTAAATGTCTGTTACACATACTCACACACACATACACACACACATATACAGAGTAGTAAATCTTGGTCTCACCAGGATGCCAAAACGTGGCCGCCTTTCTTTCGAGCCTGATGATGTTCCAGCAGAAATCTGGCACATGTTGCCAAACACAGACAGTCGAAATCCAGGCATTGGCTATCAGGCGGACAATGCTGCTGCCGAACGTTTCTTCGCGACCAGAGTCCCCGAAAGCGTTGGTCGGGCGGGGTGTGTGTGTGCGGAACAAGCCTCGGTGGCTGACTGAGCGAAGGCGCCAGCAAAAACTAGAGCATCATCATTTCGTCCGAGTCAGCTTTACGCAGCAGGAAGCAGAGGTGAGTGCCCTTGTCGCCAATTTTGTGCAATTTAGACCGCATGGGTGTCAATACCCGCGGGGCGCAGGAGCCTAACTTGCTGACTGCATACATCTGTGGCAGATGGCACTTGGTGCTTCTACAAGAAGCTTCCTCCAATGATTTGTGGCGTACATTCAACTCATTTGACTTCCTATATCACTTCTAAAAATAAAATCCTCCTGAGGCGATCCGGTCCGGTTTGCTCCTGGCGGCAGGCGGCAGCGGTCTGAAGGCATGGAGACGGCTGGCAGACAAGGTGTGTACAAATCCATGGGTTACTAACGCTCGGAAAGTTGCTAGCGAGACGCTGGGGTTTCCATGATCGCGTCCATCACTTGGACTGATGAGGAAGGCAATCGTCTTCTTCGGGGCAGACAGACTTCCTGGCTTGTTTGTTCGTTTCACCTGAACCATGTCGTCGCACATAAAAGAGGCGTTGTTGCCCAT